CAGTACTCAAGGTGTGGTCTCACCAGTTCTGAGTACAGGAGGATGGTCACTGCCTTGGTCCTGCTGGCCACACTGTTTCTGATAAAGTCCAGGATGACATTGGCCCTTTTGGCCACCTGGGCACACTGCTGGCTCATGTTCAGCCACTGCTGATCAACACCCCAGCCACTCTTCCCTCAGCCTGTAGCGAAGCCCAGGGTTGTTGTGACCCAAGTGAAAGACCTGTGTAGAAAGCATGTTTGGTTTTTTCCTGTTGTTAGAAGATTCAGGGAATATTCTAATGTGAAAGTGCCAACAGAAGCAAAGTTGGGGAAAAGGCGAAGCTAGTCTTCACATACCCTGATCGTATAAACCTCAGAGGAAACTTGTGGTTTAACCTCAGTTAGTAGCCAAACACCACGTACTCCCCCACCAGTGGGATGGGGGAGAGAATCAGAAAGGTAAGAGCTAGAAAAGCTCATGGATTGAGATAAAGACAGTTTAATAGAGAAAGCAAAAGCTGCACACACAAGCAAAGCAAAACAAGGAATTAATTCACTGCTTCCCACTCAATGCATGCTTTTTTTCTTCTTAGTCTTCATTGTGTTTAAATCTGTCAAATTTAGGAAATACTACAGTACAACTTTAAACTGAACAGTGTCCTATTATTTTGCTTGTCCATATCTGTTACAAGAAATAAAACTTTTTTTTTCTTTTATAAGGTTGTGAATGATCTGGTGTTCAGTGGCTCCAGTGATCAGTCTGTCCATGCCCACAACATTCATGTAAGTCTCATATATACAGGTGGAATGACTTTTTCTATTATGGCAGTGAATTTCTATGCTATAAAGTCAGTATTTCCAGAAATTTTGACTGACTGGTGGGGCAAATTACTTCCAGAAAAGTAAGTCTCGCTGTTTTGTTACTGTGACTATGCACTACAACTATCTAAGGAGACATGAACAGGATACTTAAACATGCTGACTCTTGTTACAGTTACCAGTTACTCTGTTACCAGTACAGATGGTAATATGGAAAGGGTTCA